ACAAGGAGGCAATCATTTTACAGACCTCAGTTGGTTTGCCACTTGCACCGTTTTCTAGTTAGGCTGAGTATGGCCACGGTTACTTGTGCCTTAGTGGCATTTGGACTAGACTTCTGTAATTTGCTTTATATGGTTCTTTGAAGACTGTTTATAAACAAGTCCACAATGGAAATGCTAGACTGCGGTAAACTGTTGGGAATATACAACTCCTATTTCTTTGTTTCGCCTACTGCACTTATCAGTTAGTTTCCAGAACCAATTTAAAATGCTAGTTGTCACTATCACATTTTATCTAGCCATTTCTCAAAAGAGCTCAGAGTAACATGCATGAGGGGTTGCACAACAGCCTGGGGTGAGAGATAATGACTGGGCCAAAGCTACCCATTGAGCATCATGGCAGAGTAAGGACTTGAGCTTGGATTTCAAGTCAATTACCTTAACTATACCACACTGGTCTTTATAGTCCCAACATTCCATAGGACCACAGTGTCTCACAGGTCTGCGTATATTATTCTGCCCATGTAATCACATAATCTTTAGAGTTCCTGCTCTGTGTGCCGTTAGTGTCTGCAATATAGTGGGTGGCTACGTGATTCAGTGCCTTCTCAGTAGCAGTGCCATGGCTTTAGCCTTCCTTCCTTTGAGAAACCTGCCTGGCCCCACCACTTTTTTGTCTTTTGGTGTATGATTAACATGGCTGTCTTTAAGGGGCCTTCTGTTTGTACGCATTTCTTGTACTATTGGCTTATTGTGTTTTTTTAATGAAATTTGTGTTTATTTGGAATTGCTGGTTTGCTTTTTAGCTAATTGTTGGTTTACATAGTACTACTTTTTTGTATGTTATGCAGCTTCAATAAAATTTATGTTTTTGTTGTAACTTGCCCCTCATTTCTGGACTGCTGTGATTACTTGAAGGAAAGGTACTTTTTACATGCACAAGCACAACATATGCATGTCTCTCTTATCTAATCATTATATTTACTTGTAGTTCTGTACATCTGCTGTTGACATCATATATTATATGTATAGCACAAGAAGGGGGCCTGCAAGGATTTCCACCCCCCCTCTACTCTATCTGGCTTCCTGTTCAGCTTCTCTCCCTCCTCTCACTGGCTCCAACTGGCTTCCCCCTACTCACTTTCGGCACAAGAAGGGGGCCTGCAGGGATTTCCACCCCCTCCCTACTCTATCTGGCTTCCTGTTCATCTCCAGCTTCTCTCCCTCCTCTCACTAGCTCCAACTGGCTTCCCCCTACTCACTTTCCACCTAGAGATGTAAAAGTTCTAGAAATGTTGGTCTTACCTGGCTTTTAGCAGGGGGCTCCCGGTAGTAAAGGAAAGGATTGTTTACTGTGGGAAGGGACAGAGAACTCAGGAACATTGAATGAGGGATGGATGCAGGGCAAGCCGCAGTTTTTTTTACACACTAGGTGAGGCTACCCTGTGGTGCCCCCCCCCAGGTGAGGCTACGTTGTGGCGCCTCCCCCTCCCCGTGTGCAATACTGCAAAAGAAATTGCAGGCTGGGCTGGGCAGTGAGGGCAGCCGCTTTCTGCTGAGATCCGCCCTCTGAGGAAAGAAGCAGGTCTGACAGGGAGCAGGCTCACACTGCTCACCTGCCTCCTCCACTGGCGGGAATGCAGCCTTCACCATGCCCCCCTCCCCTCCATCTCACCCTGCCCCTCGCGCCGGAGAGGCGCGTGAGACGTTGGGAGGTGAGCAACCTCTCCAGGTGATCACGTGTCCTTGTGACAGCTTTCATTTCCACTTTCCCACCCCCTTCGATGGTTAAGAAAGCACGCTCATGGGTTCATTGGGTCGGGAGGGGAGCACGCTGGTGCGAGGGCACACACAGTTGCTGACGTTGGTCTGTGTGTTCTTCCCTTGTGTAAGGTACACTTCAGCGTTCCACAGTGAAGGAGACTCAGGGCATGAGGCGAGGGAAGGGAGGGGAAGGTGAGGTGGCAGGCAGGCCAGAGTGGCACCCTTGTCAAGCCAGCACCCTAGGCAATGGTCTAAAATTTGTCAATGATGGGCTGGCCCTGGATGGATGTACTGTAAAGGTGCACACATGCACACACACATAAAAATACCCCAAAAGGTTAACTTGCTACAGCTACAAGCCCAGATGAGAGAGAGACGGTCCTATATAAGATAAAACAGAAAGGCAAGCAACAGCCAGAGAGGCTCAACATCTAACCGATGAGAGGATGGGGCCAACTGTCAAGTGAACCCAAGTGAGAGAATTCTCTTAACCCATTTCCTCCCAGATCCTCTTACATGCACTTACAATATCCATTTAATGGTCTCATAAAATATATTTTTTTAAAAAAATTCTGATGTTGGTGAACTTAACTGTAGGGCATGGGTCCCCAACCTTTTTGAGTCTTCAAGCAACTTTGAACTTCTGGCACAGGGTTGTGGGCACAGCAAGAAAACGGCTTCCACAAAATGGCTGCTGCTGGAGTCAGCCACAAAGTAGCTGCCCCGGCTTACCTTCAGTCACACAGTGAAGATCCTTGTGCTGTGATGGCAGTTGCTGCTGTCAAAGCAACGTTTAAAAAAATCTGCACAGCCAATCAGAAGCCTTGCAGGGCAAAACCCTACCCACTTTCTAAAAACACTTGGTGGGCTCATGGGCACCACATTGGGGACCCCTGCTGTAGGGTGTTGTATTTAAGGATAAAATATGTCTAGACTTTTGCAATGTTTGCACAATTTACGGAACCTTTATTTAGTGATATGAGTGTTTGCTTACTGGTGTAGAGAGAGGCCAATCTGAGGCTGTGATCACACTGGCGGCTTGGCGCGATCGGATGCCACCTCTGATTGAACCGGGTTAAAGTGTAGTGGGATGCATCAGCCACACAGCACACCCTGCTGTGGGTTATCCATGGAGACATCCCATGGTAAAGCATCCACATTATTGTGGCACCTCAGCCATGGAGGGAACTGCAAAAAAAAATTCAAAAAACCATGTTTGTGCACAGTGCGCATGCATGCACACATAGGCAATGCCTCTGTAGCGACAGAACAGATCTGCAGGTTCACACTGCGAAATCTGTTCTGTGCGCGCTCCCCCATGTTCAGACATCTGGCCATGTGCAATGAATGCGTGGAGAAACAAAAACACCACTTCAGAGGTGGTGGCTTTTTAAGCCAGCTCCAAGTCGTCCTCTGATGGGGTGAGTACACTGGGGGAACGCCTGACAGATGTGGCTGTGTGATGATGCCCGTTTAATCTGTTTGTAAAATGGGCCTATATTGGGCCAAACTGCCAGTCTGAACACAACCTGAAACTGGAAGGATCTGCTGTATGTGTCACTTCAACAGTGGGAGGGTCATAATGACGGATTGCAGGCCCACCTAGATTCTCCACCTAGGATCTACTTACTATTACAGATTTCCATGCCATACCAGATCAGAATGCACAACACCAAATATTCCCTATTGCTTGCCAGAGCTTTCTACTTATTGATATGCCTCAGGTCATTGTTACAGACATCTTTATATCAGAGCTTTGGACCAGCTTTGGGTTTTTAGCATCAGCTTTCACACCAGAAAGTGTATCCTTGATTTGTGTTCATTTGGCATGCTGTATACGGACCCCAAAACAAAACAGCTGTGTCTGAGAGGAGCCTGAATGTTTGGTGAGTTGGCCTGGGAAAGAATGTCTGTGCTGGTGATCTTATCTTGGTGAAGAAACGGCAAGGATGCATTGTAAACAGCAAAGATGGAAGCTGTTGCATTTTTCTCTTGACATTTAGCAGCAGTCTCAGATTACTCAGAACACAGGGCTAGGGGATCAGAATTTTTAACTGCAGTGTTAGAATGCTATTTCTCACCTAGAGCCTGAATGGGCATAGGCAGAGTTTATTTCCTGGCTTTAAACTTGGCTGGGAGGGGGGAGGGATTGCTGGTGGGGAGCATCTGATGTCCAAAGGGCTAACTCCTTCACTCCCTCATGCCGGTGTTCCATGCAAATGTCCACTATCCAAGTTTTTGGCAAAACACAAGGTTAGAAACCTTTGCTTGATAATATGACACTCTGTTCTGCCCTTAGAGCCTAAGTAGACATTATAAGAGTATCTGTTCTTGACTCTGGTTTCAAGTAATGTTTAACATGACACCATCACATTGTATGTTTTCTTCGGTTGCGGTCACACGCGCCAGTTGAAGTGGAGGGGAAGCAAGGCTATTTCATCCAGAGGAATTTGACCTGAGGTTGCGAGATCACACAGCCCTTTGTTGCTGCAGGCTGAGCCCATCACTGTGTGATCCGACGCAACTGCGGGCAAGTTGTCTTTTTTGCCATTTGCCATAGGGCCCCCTATGGGTATGCAATGATGTGCATACTGCGAGGGGGGGATGGCACAGAGCCGGGATGGCCTGACCAGACCATCCCAACGGCTCGGAAGAGTGCTTGCGCGATCAGACTGGGGAAAGTCTGTCCATGATCCATCGCAACCTGTTTACTACTGGATTTTCTCTGGTGTCTTTTTTCTCTGCTTCTGTGGCAGAGCAGCACAGGTTGCTGAAGTATGTATCCAGCCATCTGTGTACCTTGTGGATCGGGACTTTCTTGGTTCTCCCTTGTGCTGCAATCTACTGAAACACACACCCCCATTTTGTTTTGGGAGTCAGTGGACCTTCCAGAACAGCATGGGGGCAGAATAGAGGTTTGCAGTGGAAGGGGGGAATCAGTAGAAATTGCTGTCACCTTTTCCCACAAACAGAATGCCTTTCCTTCTGAGCAGCTCTGTGGTTGGATCCATTCCACTGTGGTAAACATTTTTTGCAGTTGGCTGTGTATTCGCTAATGCTCATGGAACATGTGGAGACATATTTGCTAGGGTAAGGAAATGCTGCCTGTTTTTAATTTCTAACTGGAAACACACTTTACAAAAAAAAAAGTTGTAGAGAATCATTTATAGTTTATACCTAGTAAGTGTGCATCTTGTACACTCTTTAGACATGTGTAATATTTTACTACTTTTTATTAGGTTCTTACTAATGGCATCATTGCAGTGAATGAACCGCCAAGGGAAGAAGATTATCTTGGTCAATTTCCTCTCAGTTTTGGAGGTATTGCTCCCTTTTACGCTGATTTGGATACCACCGGTAGACATGGGAAGGTATATTATAGGGAAGATTCATCTCCTGATGTCCTCCATCTTGCTGCCAAGTATATTAAAAGAGGCTTTCCGGATACTACCTTAGATCTACACAGTGTTGTCATTGTTACTTGGGATTCTGTGGCTCCTTATGCAGGACCTGGAGAAGACACCAGTTTGCAAGTGAAGGTGAGCATGTAACAGTCTAGCAACAGAAAAATTAGAAGGCACAAATGTAGTGATCCATGCTATTTTTGATGTCGAAATTAAGCTAACCAAAGGCTAATATATATATATGACAGTGGGGATCTGTGATAGGCTCTCCCAACATACAATTAAAACAACATACAAAGCTGCGATGGAATGATTGGGACTGGAGCCATCGCACTGAGATGTGGAGATTTTAACACCCTCCCCCAACGCACACATATTTTATCCTCAAGAAATCCGTCCTCTCATCTTATACTCATATTGTGCCTCTCTTTTTCCTAAGCTGGGTTCAACAACTGGTAGGAGATAGAGTTAACACTCCATTTTGTGCATAAATCTTTCCTCATGCCATAAATAACTAATATCTAGGGATGGATATGAACATCATGAATTTTGCCCTGTTCATGGTTTGCTAACTGAAGTTTGTAACAGATCATGAACTTCTACAAACTTTTAAAGCCATTTGTGGCAGTTTGTGGATAGAGCAGAAAGTTCCCTGTGAAAACCACAAAACAACTGAGCAGCGAGGACCAGCCAGCTCTCTGTCACTCAGCTGTTTTGGGCTTTCTTGTGCAGTCTCTTTAAAGTTCAAAGGAACTGCACAAGAAAGCCCTTTAAAGGGACTGTGGTCCATTTTAATGGGGTTTGCAGGGCCATGAACCACAAACCAGTCCAGTTCATGAACAAACCTCTCAGTTCAATTTGGTTTGTGGTTCATTTTGTGGTTCAACCATGAACTGACACGAACTGCAATTTTACAGTTAGTGCCCATTCGTCCTAATATCTGCGTTTATGTAAGTTGCTTTAGAAGAACTGCTAAGTTTTCTTTTAGTGTTGGTGAAACTACAGTGGAAGTAAAGATGCATTTGTTTAAGTGTAGAACTGAGATTTTTTTTTAGATCTCACAAATATTTATTTATTTTTAAACATTTCTATCCCAACTTTCTTCATAAGCAGACTCATGTGGTCAGGGGACATTTTTGACTTTCTGTGTATTAAACAGCAGGATGATGCATAGCAAACTGATTTTATAAGTGCAAAGGCTTTCAGAAGGGATTTATGATACGGCATCTGCTGTCCAAAGGGGGGAAATGTCAAAAATTTCACTGTTTTATTGGGGAAGCCTAAAGCAGTGCTTTAGATTATGACATAGGGCTTCTTCATTTTACAGTAAGGTTCTCTGATATTCAGTGCTCCAAAGAATAACGTGTGTTTTACTCAGGGGTCATTTCGGGGGGAACGCGGGGGAACGGAGTTCCCTCGGGTGAGGTGCGGGAGGCGGGGCACATGACGAAGCCCCGCCCCCTGCTTCCGGTCGGGGTAAAATGGCGATTTGATGCACCCTGTAAGTGCTCAGGGTGGATGGGTGTTCCTTACAGCAGTTTGGACTGTATTTTGGTCCAACGCGGCTTCCCCTAGGCAGGGGGAATGACTGGCAGGCATCAAGACCCAAGAGAGAGTTGAGATTGGTGTGATCAAGTCTCGGAGGAGGCTTGTATTACACTTTGATCCCCTCTCCTGAAGTGGGTGAGCACATTCAGGGGGTGTGGCCTCATGACATACTTCCGGTGATGTCAGTGGGTGTGGCATATGCTAATGAGTTATGCTAATGAGTTCCCCTAGCTCTTTTTCTATGAAACGACCCCTGGTTTTACTTCAGGTCATTGTGTTTCTAAAAAAATGTGTCAGCAACACAGTCTGTAACAACTGTGTAAAACCCTGCCTGTTTGAACTTGTATTTATAATATTTATGAAGAATGATAAAAAGAATAGTTATTATACCTGATCTTCCTTAATTTCCTGTAAATAAATTAAATTTAAATCTTCCCTACAGAGAAACACATTCCAGGCTGTTTTAGCGTCTTCTGATTCGAGTTCCTATGCTGTTTTCCTTTATCCAGAAGATGGTTTGCAGTTCTATAGTACACGTTCTAAAAATGATATGGAAATTAGCCCTGCTATTGTTGGCTTTAGTCAACCCTCTACAAATTATTTCATATGGATAAAACCTGGGTCATACAATATAATTGCAAATGAGGAAGAAGTCATTGGGAATCTGCACAGGTATGGATTTTTTAAAGTCTTTCTATTGTCTTTTATATAAGTAACTGTTTTTGATGAATAATATTGTTAATGATCTAAATCATAAGTTTTGGGATTAATCTGCATAAAGATTTTAAATATTTTTAGACATTTTCTAAAAATATTTTTATAACATAATGTATGAAGCACTTTCTTTTTATTTTGGGAAAAATACTCAGAGTGGCAACATCTGCCTACCTATTTGTTATTGCTTATTATGATACACCATCATGATCACAAGAAGCTAGAAAGGTAGACTATAAATACAATTACAGAACTGAAATAAGATAGAACATTGTTGGGAAAGGGTGGAATGAAAGAGTATGAATGTCTGCTCATTTTAGTATGAACAATTTGTTTATATATAAATCCAGTTAATTGGTGGCAGTGATGCAGATCAGCACAATATGGCTGCCTTTCCACATGGGGAGCTGTTGACATGAACAGATATGCATACTGGTCTGAACAATGGGCCAGCACACCAATTTTGTATCATTAATTATAGATATAAAAATGTTACAATTAATCCCATGATTGTTTAAAATGTATACTTAAAGAGAATTTCTTGTCTTCTAGGAGCAGTAATCTGGGAAACCAAGGAGTCTGGGCATTTGAGATTGGTAGTTCAGATAATATTAAGTCACCCAAAATTATTCAAACTCCTGCTGCTGCAGAGTATAATGACTATGATCAGTCCCAAGAAGTAACTACAGACCCTTCCATATTACACCCGGATTCCATTGAAATACATCAACAAGAAGAATCATCTCTTTCCAGAAGAGGAGATCAGCTGTATGTTAGTTACAGTTTGCCTCAGATAGAAGCAGAAGATGGTTTGCAGACACAATATCAATTTTTAACAGAGCATCCACCAGTTTATCCTCCACTCCCAACAGGGAAAAACCCACCTCTCCAGTTTCCAGGCCAACAATTCCCTCAGCAGCACCCTCAGATTATCGATGTAGAAGAAGTTGATGAAACTGGAATTGGTAAGTATGGTCATTTGTGATTGGTAAGGTCACTTTAGGGACATAGAATAGGTAATAAAATGATCAAGTATTTCAGTTGCTACAAAGAACAAAAAAAAAACAGCTTTCCTAAGTATCTGTACAAATTACTTGTTTATATTCACTTCACAGGGTAGTTAGCATGTTGGAATAGGATCTGGGAGACCCAAGTTCAAATCCCCACCCAGCCCCTTACTTAGTTCACTTACACCCCACCTTTACTTCCAATGGGGACCTAAAACAGCTGACACTGTCCCATTACGCACACTGCTTACTTTTGATTGGCTGAGCTTTTGATCCGCAACTTTCTGAATCAACTTCAGTGATTTGTTCTGCATCTCCACTTGATGGTGGGTGAATGGGCGGAAGGACTTTGATGTGGGCAGGGGAGTAGGCGTCAAGGTGCGGTGAATGGCTGGGGGAGAAATCCAATGATATCATTATGCTTTTGGATTAATTTTGACTTTGAAGTGAATTAAAAAAAAATTGCCACAAAAGTGCTCTTAGGAAATGGGGAAGGGGAGTGAACAGAAAGTGAAATGAGTGCAAAAGGAAGGAAAACATATAGAAAGGAAAAAACCCGGACGAACGTGTACACTGAAAGCAAATGAAAACACCCATGTGTAATAGCCCATTGTTCTCACCCCTCTTCTGTTTTATCCTCACAACAACTCTGTGAGGTAGGTTAGGCAGAGTGTGACAGTCTCAAGGCCACCCTGTAACTTTCCATGACAGAGTGAGGGTTTGAACCTGGGCCTCCCTGGGTAATGAAGCTCACTGAGTGATTTTAGGAGCAGTAACGTTTCCTCTCAGTCTAACCTACTTCACAGGTTTGTTGTGAGGCTATAATGGAGGAGGGGATAACAATGTTATAAGCTGTTTAGGGTCCCCATAGGGGGGAGAGCAAGGTTTAAATAAATAAATACAATATTTTTGCATGTGAAATTACTGCTTCCACAAAATTCATACATGTTTTGTAGGCTTTGTAATTCTGCATGTACTTTTTAATAAAAGCAGTTCAGCTTTTAAAATGTAATAAAAATGCCTTTAGCTGTGTATGCAGAGAATATTGTGGTAGAGAGAAAGCAAAAATTAGGGTTGCCAAAATACAGGTGGCATCGAGAGATCTCCTGCTATTACATTGATCTCCAGATGACCAAAATACATTCCCCTGAATAAAATGGTTGCTGTGGAGGGTGGACTCTATGGCCTTATATCCTGCTGAGGTTCTTCCCCTTCCCAAACTCCACCCATCCCAGGCTCAACCCACCAAATTTCCAGGTGTTCTCCCCCAATCTCCTAATTTGCACATAGGGGCTTTGGTGGGTTTCCCAGGATTCTGGAAGTGCTGTTCCAGCCACTCCCACGTTCTGTCTGGCAAGCACCATCTTAAGGAAGAATCTCCTGTGGCTGCAACTGTCCCTCTGTTTCTGGCTTTAGCAAGGGGGTGGCGGCAGCAGTGGTTGACTAGTCCCCATTATGGCTTTGAGAACCAAATGTTATGTGACCTCCTTAGGGTTGCCAAGTGGAAAAATTGCCGCGGCGGGGGACTCCCGGCTGGCGACTGGTGCGCGCGTATCACCCGGAAATGACGTGAGGATGCCGGGCATGCTGGGGGCGGGGGCACAACATCAGAGGGAAAACCATAGAGTTTTCCCTCGGATGACCGTGGCCCTGCCCCCAGCGTGCCCGGCGTCCTCACGTCACTTCCGGGTGACGCGCACATCGGGGTGTGGTTCCCCCCAGGGCCCTATCCCACGGTGGCGGGGAACGGACCTCTGGGGCGGGGGTTTCCCCGCCCCCCAGGGGGACTTGGGAAGCCTAGACCTCCTTTCCCCCAAACCATTGTACAGCAATGTGTTAGGCTGAAAGGGGAGGACCTAAATGGGTAGAATTGGGTTGAAATTGAGCTTCTGGAGCCAGTTTCCTGCCCCCTTCACTGATTTAGCTAGTGAGGCCTGAACAAAGTTTCCTTCCCTCTCAAAATATCCTCCCTAATGCTGGAAACTTGTTCGTTCCCAGATTCATCCTCCTATATTACCTAATGTGGCTTGTATGCTTCCTGTCCATGCATAGTTTACTCAGTCTATGTCAAGGTTCATCATATATGTGGAAATGCTTGTAGTTACTAAAGTAATCTAGTAGACTCAGCCAACATACACAAAAAGGTCAGAATTGTTGATTGTTATTTAAAGGCAACAAAGCAAAATTCCCTCCACTGAGTTCCTGTGTCCCACTAAGAAAACATCTTGCATTTTTAGTGTTCTATTAACCTTGAAAATCTTGTTCAGTTTGCTTGGACATATTTTTCTTAGCCCAGATCAGTCTTCTGATATTTCAAGTCATTTTTGGCTTTTCCAAGTTTTCTTGGCAATGACAACAAAAAAACCCACTAGAGTCCTAGAATGGCATTGTCATAGGTTCCTTGCAGCACATTTTTCAGTATAGTTAGAAGCATTTTATCTCAGGAGATGAAGTATTGAAGTTGGTTAATTATTAATGGAGGCATATGTAACCGGGTAAGTTGGTGGAAACTGTTATTAAGGAAAGAGTTAGTAGGCACATTGATGAACAAAAACTATGGAGGCAGACTCAGCATGGGTTCTGTAAGGGAAGTTCTTGTCTCACTAACCTGTTAGTGTTTTTTGAGGGAGTGAACAAACCTGTAGACAAGGGGGACCCAATAGATGTTGTTTACCTTGACTTCCAGAAAGCTTTTGATAAAGCTCCTCATCAAAGGCTCCTAAGTAAGCTCAATAGTCATGGGATAAAAGGACAAGTCCTCTTGTGGACCAAAAACTGGCTAATTAATAGGAAACAGAGTGAGTATAAATGGGAAATTTTCTCAGTGGAGGGTGGTAAGCAGTGGGGTACCACAGGGATCAGTACTTGGTCCGATGCTTTTAACTTGTTTATTAATGATTTGGAATTGGGAGTAAGCAGTGAAGTGGCTGAATTTGCAGGTGACACAAAGTTATTCAGGGTGGTGAGAACCAGGGAGGAGGCTGGCAACCCTAACTCTGCATCTATTTAAAAATAGTTGGTACAATATGTATTCAGTGCAATAGGAGCAGTATTCTTCAGTACTTCTCTAGTAAACATTTCCTTAATCACTGTCTAGTCTATCCACAGAAACATTCATCCCTTAACCAGTGGTTAATTATGTTGTTTGTGAGTAACTAGGAATATGTGGGCCTTACCACTATTCTTCCCCACTGACTGTAGCAAGCAGGATACCAATATGCCTTCATAGTTTTCCAGCCCCCGTGCACCCTCCAAAACTATCACTCCAGCAGCAGCACT